ACAGCAGTGATGAGGTGTGTTAAGGAGAGGTAGTAGAACTGGGTAGGAAGTGGCAGGGAAGGCTTTTGAACAGGGAATTAGAAATCTGGAGTCTGTTGCTAGCTTGTAAAAGATCTCTGGATTCACCCATACAGATTGGGGATCATTTAGTTACCTGTTTAAGGTTCCTTGTTAGAAAATCAGTTTAAATACATGAAATAAGAAATGAAGGCAAAGCAATGATGGCCCAGTACAGGTGCATAGAAAATTACTAGTCCAATATAGAGTCCAGGGTCATGTGATCATGAAAAGCTTCTGGTAAAAGATCTTGTATTCGATCCCGTCTTCCTCACATATACTTACATAGTTGGCTGCATTGCAGGAGCAGCCACTGGAAAAGGAAGAGTAGTAAGCAGGATAAGTTTCTTTAATGGTCTCTAGTTAGTTGAATGTCCTTTCCCTAATGTGCATTTGTTGAGAGAGTGATACTCAGGACCACAGCATGTTCAATACAAACACATAGAAAATACTCATAACTTTAGCTACAAAGATGTTACACGCATATAAACAGAATCATACTTAGCAAATCACACTAGACTTAATACAGCTGCGCAATAATAGTGATACCTCTGGTTATCATTCCTTCCATCACATTTCAGTTCTAGGTGATGTCACACAGCTGTATTAAGACTACTCTGATTATAGAACAGACCTTGAAATGCTTATTTGCTGCTGTATTGCAGTAAATGTTCAGCCCTAATGTATGCACTTTCATTACAGTTTCTGAAGTGACTTTGTTCTACAGAATACCATTTGGGATTTTATTGCAGACGTGCTGACTTTAGTTGTACTGATCAACTTTTTCATATTTCTGACCTATATAGGTTAGAGATATTTAATATCGGTTAATTGAATGTTGATTAACCTCATAAATTCTTATCAGTTACTTGACTATTCCATAGTACCTGGGGGTGGGGCCAGCAGCCAGTGCACCCCGGCCCCCACTCCCAAGGATCCCCTTGCCACTCTGCACTGCTGCGTCTGTATCAGCGTGGGATGCCTAGCAGGAGCTGGTCTGTGAGGAGAGCCAGTTTAAAAACCAGCTCCCCTAGTGGACCGTCTGCCTGTCACCCCATGCTGCTGCCTTTGATAGAAAGGCAGCAGCCCCTGTCCGGTGGGGTGGAAGTCTGAGCTCCTAGACCCTGCACAAGCCAGTACTGAGCTGGGATGCCTGTCCCCCTGTGGCTATGCATTTAAAGTTTATTAGGAGCTAGGTGGAGTAGGTCCTGGACCTGATGTGAGCCATGACTGAGTTGGGCTGCTGGCCAGCCTGCTTAAAAATGTACTGGTCAGGGGATGGGGCAAAATGCATGTAGTCTGTAGCATTAACTTAGAAGCTTTTGCTCATCTCTTAATGGACTGCACTATTACATCCCTAATATAGGTTCCATTTGAAATTCCTTCTCACTCCCACTGCAAATTTAACATGATAGTTACCTGAAGTGCAGCACATTCATGTCCATAAAGATTCATGAAATCAAGGAAGAGCTGGGTGGCATATGCAAAGCTAAATGAAGCTGAATACATAGTGAGCCTTTTCTCCTTGATGCTATCTGATCTATCCAGTTGCCATACAAATGGCTTATGCAGTCTTCTGTGCAACCCCGGTGTACTGAATGGTCTCCCTGATTTGATCCACAAGGCCAATAGCCCTGAAAGACCTACAATTGATGTAACGTGTAAGAGAATTAGCTGACAGTGAAAATTGTGAGTGATTGGGGAATAGCTCATAAATTTTTATTTTATTTTATTCAAAAAAATCAGCAAACCTCCATTAAGAATAAGGATGATAGAGTGTTTATTTGGCTAATTGTGTAGTCAATACAATTTATAGTGACTACATGATTAGTTGTGATAAGGGGATCGTTTTGCAGAGCTGCAGTAGAGGTGGCTCCTGGAGTAGGTTTGAGCTGAGTTTGAGCATTCCTGGCTTTGGGAACCTCCTGCGCTAGTGGCTCAAGCAGGAACTGCTCAGTCCCGGCTCGTGCCGGGTCCAGCAGCCCCTGCTGGTGGTGCCCGGAGCTGGCTGCAGACAGGCTGCTCTGGCAGCAGGAGGGCCCAGCTTCCTATACCCCTGCTGCTTATGCTTATTAGGAAGTGGAGTAGTCGACTACTTGCTTACATCCCTAATTAAGATGCGACATGACAAGTCACCAGGTTCATCATGCTACTCTTTTTTCAGAGGATTGTGAACTTAATGGAAAAGCACTGATCTTTGGAAAGTATCTAGACATTGGGAGCATTAATCGATTTTAACCATTACTGTGCTTAAAATTCCTTAGAACTTGAACGGAGAGAACAATTGTATCTGTTAGGAAATTAGGGGGGGGGGGTGGGGAAAACATTGTGGGAAGTGATTGAAAGACTATGCAAATGGGGATAATGAGTACACCAGAGAGGGCAGGGAAGGATTCTTGGATCGGAGACCATCAGACATCTCAAAGGGATTCTTGTGCTTGCTTTTAAACTAAAGTACCCTGAATGCTTGAACTTTTTTTTTGAAAATTACTTGTGATGTTTTTAAAACACTTTTACTTACTATGTAAGCTGATTAGTTTGATAGTGCTACACTCAAATCCCATGCTACTGAAAATTGAAGTGGGGAGAGGTGCTCAATGTGTGACACTTGAGTTAATGTTCTTTTAATTTGAACACAATAGTGCAGTTAAGGACACAGTTGGGGGAGGAGGAGCATCTGATGCTGACACCCAGTGTGGTCCTTGGCGGCAACTCAGAGTTAGCATTTGGCCCTTAGCCAAATCTTAGTAGATTTAACGTATGTGCTGATTTTGTTACACACCTCTTCTGAATCTGAATTTTATTTTGTCTTACAGGAATGACACCAAGGAAGATGTGTTTGTACACCAGGTGAGGGTTTTTTTTTTCAGGTGGTAGTGCAAATACCTCTTTTTATTATGCTAACTTGCTAAACTATACTAGTTGAACCTTAATTGAAAGGAGATGGAGCATATTGGCTTCTGCATTCACTTGAAGTTCTCCAAAGTTATTTGCATAACGCTGTGGATTTTCATTACATTGGTACCAATTTAGAACATCCTTATAGTTAACATTCCCAAAGTTTCCATTTGTTTACATATTTTCTACTTAACTTGAAAATTGAACTGTGCGCAAATTTACACATCAAATGCTTAAAAAAACCCCAAAGGATGATTAAGTAGTCCGGGGTGAGAAGCATAATTCTATCCATTGGTTAGAAACTATAAGACAATAAATGGCAAACTCACAGTATGGAAAGAAGTAAATAGTGGATGCAATAGAAATAAAATACCCCATTTAACTGGTGGAAGTTGCTGCAGGGCATTAGTGAAAGCTAAGTAGGATTTAAAGACTGCTTATGCGAATGAGTGCTTGCGCTCCCATCTCAAAGATTTTAGTCAAATATGAACTTTAATCCCTTAAAGCATAAAGCAATTCACACTTGTTTAAATATTAACTAAACCAAAGGGCAGGCTGTTCTATAATGAACAATACCTTCCTCTGAATATGGGTGGGTGCCTCTGCATTATGATAATGCCCATGTTCTATGCATAGGAACACATCTATGTTCCTATGGAACACTTCAGTTTACTTGGCAGCTCTTGAGCATATTTGCCGTAATTGCCATGATTCTTGTAAATACTAAAGGGAGCAGTAACACCTGACAATTCAGAAGGCGTATTGTGATATAAAAGGACATTGCTATTATTTTAAGTTGGCTAGTAAGTTTTGATCACTATCCTAGTATGCCCTGAAATCTTCCAAAGAGTGTCAGGGTATTTCTACTCTTCTGTTTGCAACTCGGTTCCATCAAGGTCAAGTGGGAAGGCCCAAGAGCAACAGTACCAGACTTCTAGTGCATGAAACAGGAAATACGACTGGTCAACAAGAAAATAGTAACACTTGACTATATGCGAAGTTCAAAAAATGGACAAACAGTAAATAAACTAAAATTCAGTCTCTAATTACAGTAGATGTTTCACAGTCTTTATACATTTGAGCTATACTGATGCTCAGGGCTCGCCAAACCGCTGCGAGCCCCGCTCGCCAGCCGTGCAGATCGCCCAATCCCACCTCTTCCAGATTCTATATAAGATTTAGTTACTAGAAGTTTTTAAAAATAAACATGACATTTGATGGTGGTCTTTTAATGTAGATAATGAGTACATGCTAACGAGTAATCAGTGTAGATGCAATTTGAAATATAAAATCCTATAAAGCTTCAGGAAAATATAGGTTCCTTTCCAGGCTTGTATTCATTTGGGTTCTTTTCATACATCTCTTATGTGAAGCACTTAGGGAGACAGGTTTTCCTGGTGTCCTCTTACACAGAATACTAGATCTATAGACTGAAAACTTATATATTGTTACAGTGGATTTCTTTCCCTTTAGGTGTATGAAAATACTGGGATATGGTCAATGCTGTTTTATTTTCTGAACTCATGCTTGTGTGCTACTCCTGAGCTCAGAAAGCAATTGGGAAACAAAATATGGTTTTGTGAGGAATTTGTATGTACTGAGCATTTATAGGATTTATTTAAAAAAATTCTGACTCTCGAAAACTTGGGTTTTTTTCAGTATATAACTGTGTAGCCTGTTTGAAACTATAGGATTGTTTCTGTAGTAGTGCAAGTTTAGACTTGCTAATCTTTATTTTAAAATATACTCAAATATGGGGATGAATGCTTTTTTTGATCAGGGTGTGAACTAAAGTTTTTAAGCAGTCATTCAATGTTGTGGCTACAACTGACTTAAGAGGCAAGCAGTGCTTCAACTTCAGGCTGTCTTCAAGTTAGAGCTGAGATGAGATCAGGCAGTTAAGTTTTCCTTATCTGCAAATGTACCTTTGTGTGTGGTACTTACCATGAAGTTTTACATTAGCTTATGCAGCTTAATTTTAGACCTCAATATGTAAGTGTCCTGTGTTTAAAAGTGGTGAGTTCTCATTCCAGTGACTTCAGTGGGCATTTCATGTGCACAATTCCTCTTGGGGGGGGAAAAAAGGCCACTGGTATGTAACTTGGGGGCCATATTTGGCTGTATGCTTTTTTAAAAAATAGTCTGTGTTTTGAGGATCAGTATGGTGCCCTGGAGTCCTAAACACAGAAATTCCATTGATAAAGCAAACTTTTCTTATAAGTAGATCGAGAAACTTCACAAAAGTAAATATTGAGACTATTAAAATATTCCTGATAATAATGTGGTTTTCAGTTTTAGATTGCCTTACCTCTTTTTTATTATTATTATTATTATTATTCTTCAAGGCATAGCAGTTAAGTGGAACAAAGATTGCTGATATTCATGCTCCTTGTTTTCATAGTACAGGCAGTCCCCGGGTTACGTACAAGATAGGGACTGTAGGTTTGTTCTTAAGTTGAATCTGTATGCAAGTCGGAACTGGCATCCAGATTCAGCCGCTGAATCTGGACACCAGTTCTGACTTACATACAGATTCAACTTAAGAACCCCAGGCATTCAACAGGCTGAATCTGGACGCCAGTTCCAACTTACATACAGATTCAACTTAAGAACCCCAGGCGTCCTGATTCGGCTGCTGCTGAAACTGACCAGCAGCGGCTGAATCAGGACCTGGGGCAGAGCAGCTGGGGTGCTGCCGGGTTGGTCCAGTAATGCCCAGAGCGGCGCTACGGGCCCAACCGGCAGCGCCCCAGCTGCTGTACCACAGGCGTCCGGAGCAAAGCCACGGAGCATGGGGGCAGTGGGACAGCCCAGACGCGCCGTGGCTGTCCTGCTGCCCTCGGACTCTGCGGCTTTGCTCTGCTTTGCTCCCCGTCCTCCTGGTCTGCAGACCAGAAGGACGGGGAGCAAAGCGGCGGAACACGCGGGCAGCGGACAGCCCAGACGCTTCTGGGCTGTCCGCTGCCCGCGTGCTCCTCCGCTTTGCTTCCTCTCCCTGGTCTGCTGGATCCGCATAACTCGGGGACTGCCTGTACTGGACATGGGCAGGTTATTTGCTATACCAGTGGTACTCTCATAATGCGACTCAGGAGACACATTTGCAACCACCATTTATCAAGAGCCTTGTGACTACTGTATCCCCTGTGCATCATTCCTCCAAACACACACAAAATATTAAATATGTAACTATAAATAACACAATATACTCAATTTTCTGTGCATCAAAAACTAAATTTAGCTAATTCATTATTTGCAGCATGCAATAGAAGCATGAGGCCTGTCTTACTGTAATTGAGGTCCAACCAACAACGCTGAGAAAAGCACTCCAGAACAAGGCAGTAAATATGCAGCAGACCGTAACCATATGCTTTGTTACTGCTAGCCTAGCACCCAGACAACAGTTTGCACAGAAGACTCAGGGCTTGGGAATGGGAGGGGGAGCATGGCGCTCCTTGCAGGGTTGGAGGAGACTTCACACACTTCCCTCTCACCCCCCAGGCCAATCAGCGTCCGGGGGTGGGGAGGGCAGCAGGGCCTCCGTGGGCCGGATCAACTTGCTTGGTGGGCCGAATCCAGTCCCTTTTGCCCACCCCTGATCTAGGCACACTCAACAGTGAATTTTGACCCATATTCATGAGAGCAAATCCCTTTCCGTTATTTGGCCACTTCATCCAGGAGATGGAGTGCAGCCTATGGAGATACAGCAAAGCTAACGAAGTGCTGCCTATTGCTGAGTTTGTTTTTTTTTATAAATTCTCACTCGCAATATTTAGTGCTGGAACTTAGTCACCAGATTAAAGCACTAAGCATAACCTGCCTTTTTTAGCAGTTACAGAATGCGGAGGAACAATGGGGATTCCCTCCTTCCTGAGGTACAGCAAATCAGCTCTTTGACATGCTGAAAGAGCCACAGGCTATGCCTGAAGAGCCATGTGGTTCATGAGCTGGGGACTTAGCATCCCTGTTCTATAGTAAACCTGCCTGCTCTGTTAGTGTCAGACTTACAAGAACCCTTACAGACTAGTATCAGTGGCTTGTGACACTCATCTGGTAGGTCTGCCTCCAAATAATTTAATATTTGTTGCATTTTATCTTAAGATACATTGGATTGTTGCCACCGTAGTTGAAATTACATGTTACTGTAGGGCAGTTTTGGGATAACACTTTTTTAGGTTTCATAGGAGAAAATATCCAGCATATTTCTGTTGAAACTAAAAGTTAATTTACATGCTTTCTTGAGCTAGAAATTCAGCTTCTCCCAAGGAGAACTGAATATTCAAGTATATCCATAATCTAGCAGTCTCTGCATTTTATGACTCTAAAGTTAAATCTGGAATATTGTGTTACTAGACTGCCATAAAGAAGAATAATCCCAGGAAGTACCTTCGCAGTGTAGGTGATGGAGAGACTGTGGAGTTTGATGTGGTGGAAGGTGAAAAGGTGAGCCTATATCTAATGTTAGTCTCAGAAAAAAAATGACTTGCAGTCTGGGCTGACGTTTGGTGGCTTCTTCGGAGTAGATCATGGGGGGAAGGCGGCTTCTGCAGATGGGGCCTGTCTGCAGCAGGCCCAGTTGTCAGGAGTATCCTGTCTGGGATATCGGGGTGGGGGGGGTGGGAGCAGCAGGCAGGGACTCTTCCGACTGGGCTGTAGCAGCCCCTGCCTGTGACCACCCCCTTTAATCCATAAAAAGGTTAAACATAATGTTTACCTGGTTAATCAATTAAACTGGGTTTTACATTCTTAATATCTAAGGAGTTTAAATTTTTTTCTCGCTTTACAGTGTATCTTTGATCAGTTATTCCTGATTTACTTATATTCTCATGCCATAACTGATTCAGATTTTTGTTTCTCTTGTGATCATTAATTTTACACTGTTTTTAGGGTGCAGAGGCAGCTAATGTTACAGGTCCTGGTGGAGTTCCAGTACAAGGCAGTAAATATGCAGCAGACCGTAACCATTACCGACGGTATCCACGTCGTAGGGGTCCTCCACGCAACTACCAGCAAAATTACCAGAACAGTGAGAGTGGGGAAAAGAACGAGGGATCAGACAGCATGCCAGAAGGGCAAGGCCAACAGCGCCGTCCCTACCGCAGGCGGCGGTACCCACCTTACTATATGCGTAGACCCTATGGGCGTCGACCACAATATTCCAACCCTCCTATACAGGGAGAGATGGTAGAGGTAAATTTTGTATAGCATTTGATACTGTAGTACCTTGCATATAATGATTGGGAGTGGTGGGGAGTTTCATCTGCCTACATGTGGGCTGTTTGGTTTGTTTCCTTTGGCTGTGTAGATTTAGCAATACAAATGAGTTTAAAAAGTAGAAATCTTGTTTGCTGTCAGTTTAAAAAAATGCTGATTTAAATATGAAATGTGAATCAGTTACTTTTCAAATAGTTTTTTAATTTAAAGATAACCACCTAAACTGGATTCCACATAAAATACATCAGTGTGTCCCCAGGACCTCTTTGGAGCTTACCAGATACCTTGTAAGGGGTCCTCCACTTACCCAACAAAGTTTCAGGGTGCCAGACTTCCGCTATGGCAAATTGTGACTTCTGACTAACTGGTTTGTCATTTAATTCAAGGCTTCTCAACTCCCCCACCCCTTCCTATGACCCAGCTGCTTTCCACATATAAGAGCAAGGACTGAAGTTGGGGACTAACAAGCAGGGTACTTGCCTGGGGCCCCAAGCCACAGGGGCTCCTGCAAAGCTAAGTTGCTCAGTCTTTGGCTTTAGCCCTGTATGGCAGGGCTCCAGGCTTCAGCCCCATACAGTGGGGATTTGGCTTTCTGCCTTGGAAATCCCCTTTCAGCCCCCCAGGGACCCTGGACCCCTGGTTGGGAACCAGCATTTTAGGTTGCACTTATAGCTGGTTAAGTCATATTGATGTACATTATTTCAGGGTGCTGACAACCAGGGTGCAGGAGAACAAGGCAGACCAGGCCGACAGAATATGTATCGGGGGTACAGACCACGATTTCGCAGGTATGCTGCAGATCAACTCCTTATATTATGAAATTTTGGGAATGTGCTGAAATATAGTGGTCAGATGCTGCATCGTTAAGCCTAGCTTGATTTTCAGGGGTCCTCCTCGTCAAAGACAGCCTAGGGAGGAAGGAAACGAAGAAGATAAAGAGAACCAAGGGGACGAGACCCAAGGTCAGCAGCCACCTCAACGTCGGTACCGTCGTAACTTCAACTACCGACGCAGACGCCCAGAGAACCCTAAACCACAAGATGGCAAAGAGACGAAGGCAGCCGATCCACCAGCTGAGAACACGTCCGCTCCCGAGGCTGAGCAGGGCGGGGCTGAGTAAATGCCGGCTTACCATCTCTACCATCATCCGGGTGGGTATTCTAATTTTCTTTTGAGAATATTATGCTATAATAGCTCTTTCTAAAGCTTTCTTTGACTTCTAACCTTTATGCATTTCTTGTAATTGGGGCTGTTAAAATGCATGTAACTGATTAACTGTGTAACGGCTGAAAATTTCAGCGTTAAGAAGCAGCCAGCTCACTGGGAGCCGGTGTGCATTTAAAAGCTGGCTCCCAGCATACACCAGCTCCTGCCTGCCACCCCGCTCCTGGGGCCCTGCTGCTGCCCTGCACTACTGCCTCTGATATGGAGGCAACAGCACAGGCCAGGCAACTCCCCAAGAGCCGGACCATGAGCCACATGTAACCATTTGGGTAACTGATTATTGTTTACCTGTTTAAACAGTTACACTCTGCATCCCTACTTTTGTAATTAAATTTGATTTAATGTAAATGGACATGTTGGGTAACATGACTAGAATAGTTTGCAGGTTCAAGTTCTTTCAACACTACAACTGTAAACTAGTTAGAGGACTTAGTTGCAGAAGGTTTCTTATTTCTGGTTGGGACTTTAGCCATGTCCAGTACAAGGCAACTCTTGGATATGTTCAGTGTTTTAGCCTGGTGACCTATAGAGCTCTCATCTATGCTGCAAATAGGCATCGTGTAACTGCTGAAGTGGTTGTAATGTACTGTGAATGAGATCTTAATTACACCTACTTTATATGGAACAAATATTGAAATAACATCTACAAGGAAAAGCAGCATTGTTTGCTAATTCTGTGAAAGATTAACCCTATTCTTGATGGACTTTTGGCAGAATTATGTAAGTAGTAGGTTAATGGAACATTGTTGTGCTTATTCTGTATCTTAGGTTCTCCACTGAAAATAACTAAGTGCTTTGATGTGGTCTGAATACTGGCTGGAACACTGACTACAAGGTCACAATAAACAGCAGTGTTGCGACTTGAGGCTGATGTTCTAGTTGGGGATATTGTGTATGTATTGGAGGAGAGAATAGCAGCAGTACATTAAACATCTAGATAATGCTAGATTGAGGACTTGCTAAAATCATCTAGTATTGAGGAATAACCCAGGATACTAGTGAGATGCAGACAGACTAAGATTCAATTTGGAAAAAGTAATAACCCCTAGAGCCATGGTGTCCAGCCAGTTCTGAAGCTACTGCTACAGTGAACTAGCCACACTCAATCAGCCAGGTAGCCACATGTAGGTAGAGGCTAACATGTTGGACACCATAGCTCTAGAGAATGTGAAATTGAATCTTGAAAAAGACATAGATATATAAGCAATCAATTAAAAATGAGTCTGCGATGTAGTATTTGCCAACAAAAAGCCAGTGTCCTGTTTGGCTGCACATGCAAGACCCACATCAAAAAACAGGGAGGCAACTAGCAGTGCTTGGTGTGGCTGCCCTTATAATGCATTCACTTTTGATAATTAAACTTTTTTTAGTTATCATGGGAATAGGCTCATTTTTAGGACCATCACTATTTCCTGCCCTTTGTTTTCCTGACTCCCAACACCTGCTTTTCTGTGTCTCTCCTCATTCCTTATCTTTATATATCTTCTGTTTGTTTCTTCTGCAGAATCAACCTCTAGTTGCCACCCTGTGGACTCTCACTCATTCTGTCCACTAAAAAGATTACAATGAAATAGTTAATGTAGACCAGTGGTCCCCAAATTATTTGTCACATTCCCCTATGATGTCATTTGACTGCTCCCCTGGGAACCAAAATGCAGGACAATGTAGCACTTTAAAGGCTAAAGCTGGCGCTGGGAGTGAAGCTGTGCTCAGAGTTGGGGCAGAGCTGTGTCCTAGGGGGACAGGGCTGGGAGATTCTTCTCCCTGCTTCATGCTGGTGTTGGGGGATGGCCTGACCTGGCTTTGCCTGGGCCAAAATCCCTTTTCCCCCTTCCAATGTTCCTATGTTCCCCTTATAGGAGCACATACCACAGATCGGGGACCACTGATGTAGACACTAATTTGTCATTAGTCATAACTCTGCAGAAGGATTAATGCAAGAGGTTTGCACCTGGGCTACTGTTTAAGGCCCTGTGATCCAGAAAAGCAAGACTGAATGAGTGTCTGGCATTTAGTTCCTACTCTCAAGGTTGTATTTACCACCACAAGGGCTGGAAACTCGTTAAATGAAAGTTTAGATACTGTTAAATGTGCATGTCTAGTTTGATTGGACACCACTGGTCTAGTTTCCAGCAAAGAGCTTGCTAGTAGCTGATAGATGTGAACTTCTGTAATTCATCTCAGAAGGTGAATCTTGACACAACACTGAAGTCAAATAACCACTTTAGTTTCTTCTTTAACATGCACAGTAGTGCTGTTACTGGAAGATCTTGAGGTGCTTACTTAAGATTTGCAGAGAGAGTGCAATCAGGTTCTTTATTTCACACTTCTCCCCCAGAAAAATTCCTCGGGTGTGCCTAAATGGGAAAGACTCAGTATTGAATGTCTTTTGGACAGCAAAAGCCTCAAACTCCCACAATTGCTAGAATGTTAGTCTTTCACCTAACAATCTGAGAGATGTAACACAGTGAATTGAAAACCTGGCACCAGTGTAAAATCAGTTTTGATACAACGCTCAAGTAACCTTATACTGAACAGCTCTGGAAATAGAAGATGGGAATGAAGGGAGAAGTGGAAGTGGGCTGCCACATAGTTTAGTACCAATTGTTTCATAGGACATAAGAGATAAGTGGCTTCCTTGCAAAATGTAGGCTTGTTTTGATAATTGTAATAAGTGTGCAGTAAGTAAAATAGTGGCACAAAAGCAACCGAAGGCCAGATCTGAGTCTCAGCAGTGGGGAAAATAGCTAAGCAAGCACATCTGTGCACCTTTCCTAAGTGTTCCAGGAATCCATGTTGAATTATTACTGCACATAATCTTGACACCAGGAACACATGAGCCTGCAGCAAACATCTTTGACGATCTTTTTTCTTTTTCCAGTTTAGTCATCAAAGAAAAGAATATGAAATAAAGAGAAGAATATGAAATTCCAGCAATAAGAAATGAACAAAAGAATTGGAACTGAAGACCTTAAGTGCTTGCTTTTTGCTGTTGACCAGATTACTTGACTATCTGCATTATCTATGCAGCATGGGATTTTTATTATTTTTACCTAAAGAGTCTCCTTTTGGGAATGACAAACACGTTTTTTAAAGGCCTGTTTTTTCTCAATACACCTTTAAAGGTTTTTAAATTGTTTCATATCTGGTCAAGTTGAGATTTTTAAGAACCTCATTTTTAATTTGTATGAAATGTACACCTGATTTTTTCAAGTCAAACTGCAAGCATCTGTTAATAAAGGTCTTAAAGAATTGCTGTGTGTTTGTCTGTTTCAGCTTTGTGTTCCCCAATACTGAAAGGTTACAGGCTCATAAGGTTAGATTTACTAGATCAGTGTTTCTCAACCTTTTTAAAAAGTACCTCTCCTCCCGCCCAAAAAAGTACCCCCCCCCATACCTACAGTTTTCAGCCACAATTTTTTTTCTACTGTTGCTACACATTTGTTTAAACAACTTAATTGTAGCCGGGCGCGTGACGACATTTTTGGGTATAAACTGAAATTTGGATTTTGTACTTTTAACAACATACCCCTCCCCAGACTTCTCTCGAGTACGTCTAGGGGTATTTGTACCACTGGTTGAGAAACACTGTACTAGATAACTACCACACTAATACTAGCTGCTGTCATTTTGGATTACTTGGTGGTCCATCTATCAAAAAAGCTCGCTCAACTCTTGCCCCTGTGAGCACATCTTTATATCCAAAATCCAAGTACTTATTCATTCTGTAGTCAACCACTTGACACTTCCACAGCTGAAGCCCAGCCAACTAGAGATCCTTGGCATATCATTCAATATTTCCCAGTCTTTTAGTGACTCGTAGTCTCAGTCTTCTTTCACATGTACCAATTGGGGAATGGGCACTGAAGTCTGCTAGGAGACCACCTCCTGGTAGAGGAACCTAGGTTCTTCTTCGAGTGCTTGCTCATGTCCATTCTGATTAGGTGTACGCGCGCCACGTGCACGGATTCCGGAGCTTTTTTCCCTTAGCAGTATCCATAGGGCCAGCAGGGAGCCCCCTGGAGTGGTGCCGGTATACTGGTGCATATATTCCCCTGCTGGCCCGCCCACCCCCTCAGTTCCTTCTTACCACCCATGACGGTAGCTGGAGCATGCTTCAGGCTGATAGCCTATCTCTTAGCAGCTTATTTCTTATCTGTTGTATTGTAGTTCTAGTTGAAGTTTTTATCTAGTTAAGTAGTTAAGTGTTGTAAAGATTTAGTAGTTAGATAGGGGAGCACCTCCCGTGAGGGGAGGGCATGCCAGGGCCCCAGGGCTTTAAACCCTGTGCTTCCTGCTCCAAACCTATGCCCTGCGGAGATCCCCACTCCGACTGCCTAAAGTGTCTGGGTGAGGCCCATCGAGCTGAAAGCTGCTCTATCTGTAAGAGCTTTAAGCCCCGGACCAAGAAGGAGAGGGACTTCCGGCTGAAACTCCTGCTAATGGAGTCAGCACTGCAGCATCAGAGCGAGGAGCGGCCTTACTCTGCCCGCAGCACACCGTCGGCAGCACCCCCGTCGGACAGCACGGCACCGAGGCACAGATCGCAGTCCCCGGTGCCGAGGGCCTCCAAGAGCTCGAGGGGACGCTCGGTAGAGAGGAGTGCCCAGAAGGTGCGCCCTAAGGAGGGGCACCTTTCTTCTAAGTCCCCCAAAAAGAGGCGTAGCCCGGACAGGGGCAAGGGCCCGGGGCAGCCTGTGGGGCTAGGAGAGGTCCGTTGGCCCTCCACCCCAGAAACTTTTGAGGCGGCCTGGGACCTCATTCACATGGCTGTGGATGAAGGGGAGGGCCTGGCACTGGCCTTAAGTGCCCCCCAGCAGGCTATGGCCGGGTCGTGGGACCCTCTGGGCGAAGGGCAGGCCTCAGTCCAGCAGCAGTTTTTCCCGGTGCCGGGACGAACGCTGGCACCGACCCCGGGCCCCTTCCCGACGGCAGCGGCACTGGGAGCGAGTGCGCTTGCGGTGCTGATGGCACCGGTGCAGGGTCTGGTGCCGCATACGGCCCCCTGGGCGGTGCAGGGCCCCGCACCGTACTATACGCCATCTGCAGTGCTACAGCAGGCGCCCTGCATGGCACCGACGCTGATGCCTCTCCCGGCACCGATCCCTGCTTACACCTTGGGAGCGCAGCAGCAGGGCGCGGTGCCGCTGCACATGACGGAACTGGAGGGTTATGTACCGGCCTATCAAATGCAGCTGGGCGCGGTACCACTGCAGCAAGGACCTCCGCTCATGCCCCCACCGGCACCGCGTGTGGTGCACAGGGGCAAGCCATCGGTCATGGCAGCGCAGCGAAGGGTGCAGGCTTCATCGGCCCCTCCCTGGTCAGCATCAGAGTACTCTTCGGAGGCCGAGTCAGTGGCTTCGTCCAGGTCTTCATATAGGTCACGGCCCCATGATAGGTCCCGCTCATCGGTCAGATCATCTCACTGGGAGCCGGTGGACCAGCAGCAGTGGCAGGGGCAACCCCAGTGGGCTTTCTGGACGCCCTGGGCATACCACCAGGCCCAGGGGCCTCTCCTTCTTCTTTGAGTGGTCCCCGTCAGTGCTCCACTCTAGGTGTCGGGCTTGTCCTGGTGCCGCTGATCGGAGGCTTTTCGTAGCAGTAGTCGGCCGGACTGCGCATGCGCAGCAGGCTTCGCGCGGTTTCTTCAGTCACGTGGTCCGGCCCTTCCGCCAGTTCCTTTCAACTGTCCTAGGTTGCTGACGGAGATCGGTCTCTCTCCTCAGAGACAGCTCCTTTCGATAGAAAAGTTAAAAACTGTCATGAGTTTTCCTCAGTTTATAGTTACAGTTAGTTACTTAGTTATTTGTTTAAAAAAAAAAAATCTTAAAGTTGGACGTAGCTAGTTCAGCCTACTGTTCTTTCTAGTTTTCTTTATCTTTAGAGACACAAAATTCAAAATGCCTGGTTCACCGGGGTTTAAGAAATGCTTGTTATGCAAAGACCCCATGCCAGCATCCAACGGCCACGACGCATGCATACGCTGCTTGGGGGAGTCCCATGTGCCGAGCAAATGTGCTCATTGTTCCAAACTAACGGCCAGGGCATGTAGGGACAGGGATGTGAGGCTGAAGCTCATGCTATTTGATAAGGCTCTGCAGCCTTCTGAAACGCCTCAAGGAGATCCCTCTAAGAATCGCAAGAGGACGTCTCCACCGCAGAGCGGGTCGACTCAAAAGAGAGCGAAAAGAGTCTCCCCGGCACGATCTCTGGCCGCGGTCCCTCGATCTAAAATCAGTGAGGGTGACCAGCCAGGTACCTCCGGAATGGGTTATAAACCTACGCAACAAAAATCGGACAGGAATAAGTCGGTGGGACGGTCATCTTCAGTGCCGGCACAGTCTACTCCCGCCAAGCCTACCAGGCAACAATTGGCACTGAAAACTCAAGGGCGGCAACCTATCGGTCTGTCCGACCCTAAAATGTCGGCACCGACGGTGCGGAAGCATACTACGGCACCACAGCTGGCACTGATTCAACCAGCGGCACCGACAGAGCAGGCGGCACCGACGCACCGAATACCCATGGCACCTGATGCGGTGCCGAGCGGCAGTCACACCTCGGTGCCGGGGGCGGCACCGCAAGTGGTTAAAAAGGGGATCGCGGCACCGGTGGACCGCAGCAGCTCGGTTCCGCCTAAGGCACCGGAGAGTCTGTTAGCCTCCCCAGCAGTATCGCTGCAGCACTCTCCAATACTGCTTTTGGATGATGATGATGATCACATCTCCAGGCATTCTCCTGTCGAAGAGCCCTGTGCCATGCCTTCGACGGTACCTACAAAAGCCCAAAAGAAGTCGGTTCCTCGAAGATCGTCCCCTTCGCCATCACCGATATTCTCGCCGGCACCGTCTCCCTCCCCCTGCGATACCATTCTCCGAGGGGACCTCGTTATCATCGCGCCTCACGTTCTCCTCACAGCTACTCGAGGCCGCACTACACGCATATCTATAGGCACCCTATACCACATTTCGAGATGCATACTCCTAGATCTCGCTCACCAACTCGTTCACCTTCGAGGTCCTATGGCAGCAGATACAGCGCTGTCTATTCGTCCAGGAGACCATCTCCTGACGGCTCCTATCGCCATGGAGAGATAGAGACTATTCTCCTTATTCCTACATAAGGTCTCGATCTCCTCCTCATTCTTGCTGTTGCCATATCTCGCGGCATAGACACCAGTCCCCAGCAGGTTCTTTGCAACAACCGGTTCAATCCCCAAAGGTTCCGGTGGCTGCTCCCTCGCCTCCTCCTCAGATGTCTGATCCTGAGGAAGGTCAAATTTCGGACGAGGATGTTCCTCCGCATGCAGTATCTCCAGCTGACGCTGCCTCATCCTCTCCAGACGAGGCGGTATTTCAAGGAGACAATTCACCCCCGGACGACGGTCGGGAATTCCAAGATCTTCTTAAACGAGTGGCGTACACATAGAACGTTCATATGGTGGACGTTCAGACGAAGCAATAAAAGTTACTTAAGAACTTGCACCCCAAACAACAGTCTAGAGCAGCACTCCCAATTGACAAGGCGATTCTTGAACCAGCCTCAGAAATCTGGCACACCCCAGCCTCTGTCCCACCTACGTCAAAGCGGGCGGAGAAAAGGTATTTCGTACCTTCCAAAGGCTTGGAATTTCTTTTTACACACCCCCAGCTGAATTCCCTTGTAGTAGATGCAGCCCTTAATCGTGCCAAGAATCTGCAGGTAAGGAATGCGGCAGCAGAAAAAGAGGCCAAAAAATTAGACATCTTCGGGAGGAAGGTCTATTTGTCGTCTACCCTTCTTCGCATTGCCAATTATGCGGCACTGCTGTCCAATCACGGGTTTGACAACATTGCCAAGTTGGCAGGGCTGGCCCAGAACACCTCCGAAGAGGATAAATCCATTCTTCGGGCAGTGGTACAGGAGGGGGTATGCTTGCTCCCGGGCCAATCTGCAGATAGCCATAGATGTTGCGGACACGGCCGCGAGATCAGTAGCCACCGCGATATCCATGCGTAGGGCTTCATGGCTGGTTGCTGCTGGAGCTCTGAGAGACTTGCAGGCAAAAGTCGAAGACCTCCCGTTCGATAAATTGAAATTGTTTGCTGATAAAACGGATGAGGTGCTCCACACCGGAAAGGACTCGCGTACGACCCTTCATACACTAGGCATGTACGTTCCACTGTTCCGCCGCCGGAGGTTCTTCCCATATCAGAGGCGATATGACTTCCAATTCCAAAAACAACAACCTCGCCCTTTTGATCACACTTGATC